GGCAGAGCCATCAGTTGAGTCACTATCATAGTCATCAGCTATGCCACTGGCGGAACCATCAGTTATGCCACTGGCAGAGCCATCAGTTGAGTCACTATCATAGTCATCAGCTATGCCACTGGCGGAGCCATCAGTTATGCCACTGGCAGAGCCATCACTTATGCCACTGGCAGAGCCATCAGTTGAGTCACTATCATAGTCATCAGCTATGCCACTGGCGGAGCCATCAGTTATGCCACTGGCAGAGCCATCAGTTGAGTCACTGGCATAGTCATCAGTTATGCCACTGGCAGAGCCATCACTTATGCCACTGGCAGAGCCATCAGTTATGCCACTGGCGGAGCCATCAGTTATGTCATCATCGTTTTCCTGATAGTCAAGGTAATTCGGTTCGTCAGCCTTGCCAGTGGCAGCAGCGTTCTTCGGCATCAGTTTGTCTCTGCCACGTAGATGTTGATGAGAATAATGCACAGGACGCCCATGATCACTGACTTTTTCTATGTGGAGATAATCAGAAAAAGGATTACATTTACTATTTGGGGCTTTCTTGTGCCCTGAATATTTGTTTCTCTTTGTTTGTTTGTTGATGTTCTTTTTTCAGCGTTTTACAAAAGGCAGCGGTCACTAACTTCATGTGATGCCTTTTTTTAAACAACTTGTACCCCATTCAAACCAACAAAAAATGTATTGTTAATCCTTTCACTCCTATTTCTCCTGACAATATCAATACAATATCAACCAGATAAGTGATGAGAATAAAGAAAAATATCAATTTGGGGATGATTAGTTGATCCAATACTAAATTCTCTGAACTAACATTATAAGAATTGTATGGTTGACGGTAAGGAGAATTACAAATTTGATCTGGGAGTTACAGGGTTAAACCGAATTTAACTAAATGAAAATCAGGAACAGAGTTCTGAAAACTGAATATTCCATTTAATATTGAAGTATTCACGCTAACTCGTGTTTTCAATGTGTTACATTTGAATTCTACAAACACGGGTTAAAGCAGCTTCCAAGAGGAAACAAAAAATTTAAACCGTGTTTAACAAAACCGCTTTAAAACATGCATGTTTAAGCTTTGGAGTGAATAGGTTGCTGATTTTATCTGAGAGCATACGGTCATTGCTGAGATAAGTTCAAATTCAAATTATGTTCGCACGAGGAAAGTTAAAATAATTCAGTCTTTCTTCTAACCTGGCAATTTAAGCTGAGGGTGTTTATAAGTTGAGCGTGATGTCACCGATAAAACCATTATGGCCAAAATGAGCACAAGGTAGGCAGTCTTCATCGTTGTTTTCTCACCCAAATGATTTTGCTCTCTGTACCATAGAGAAAAATAGCAACCATTATAATAAATAATATCAAAATCGGGGATGTCACATAGGAAACAAGGAGTTAATGATTTATAGGGTTTGGACAAGTTGTTTTGCATCTCAAAGACATAAGAGACTACATATTGCAGTTCACAGCGCTTTAGATATCCAAGTTATAACTAAACAACTCGCACCCATTTTTAGGAAAACTCGTGACCATAACTTTCCCGTTACCTGTTTTCTTCTTTTATTTTTTCCTCATTTTCCTCCTTCAGTAGCTTGTAAGCCACTCTGAATCGATCAATCTACTTTGACTTAGGATTAACATTAACTTAGTTAGAAAGTGAAGAAAAAAGAGCACAACCCTTTGGCGATGGAGGAAAACACTCCTTTCTGTTCTAGGTGTACGATTTTACATCATTTGCGTTGAGTTATGCTTATTGAAGCCCATAGCTTTTGAATCAAAGTTGCTGATGTTCTACAAATGAAGCTTACACGGATCATAAAATGGAAAATCGTCAAGCTCTTAAATTAACTCGAAGACTCAAAAGTTTTAATATTTTTGGTTCCTAATATAAATCACTTTTTATCGAGAAGCGACAGGTAATCAATGTCACTTACCTCGAAATCAAGAGTGAATCGAAAAGAAAAGAAAAATCAAAGGCAACAAACCATTGACATTGAAAGGAAACTCGCTTTGTTTTGTAATGAGTTCCTTCACTTCGCCGCACGGCAAAAATTACCATATTGAGGGAGTGGTTTTCGAGTCGCTTTCTTTTCCCTAGAGGAATTTATATTGATCATGAAATGAAAAGCCTTAAAATGTACGTCGCCAAAATCTTCTTGATCATACAAAGGACAAATCAAACTTACTACGAATGTTATGCGCGTGAGAGTTACGATAAATTGTAAATTTCCTGCTTTAAAATACTCCTCTCCACGAAGCGAAAACGTCAAATCAATAGCAATCCGTGAATCCCGAAAAACTTTGAATTTGGAACGAAGCATTCCCTTTGCAAACACAGTTCAGGAAAAGTGAGCGTGGACAACTTTGGTCTTAAATCCCTTAAAAAGAAAGAGAAGCCAACTATGGACTTAGCTAAGAATTTACCAAAGGTGTCGAGAGAAAATGAACTGATGGTACACAAGGGGAAATTAAATGATACCTGCAAATGCACGAGATTAAATTTTAAGAAAATGAACCTCGCCCGCGAGACTTTATATATATGATATAAAAGGAGTGAGGGCTTCTACATTAAGCGGTATATTGACGATCAATAAAATCTGACTTCCGAAGACAATCGTTCTTAAAACTGGATTACGCCTTAGCAGAAACACCTCATGGAAGGGAAATCTATCTACACGTCCCCATTTAAACCAGCTTACAGCTGATCTGGGCCAGTTTGGTTAAATATTGCCGTTCAACAAATAGATAAAAAAATGAATAAGTAAATAAGCTTTGGGAAAACCTGATTATTGGTGTGTCTCTTACAGTAAGAAGCGAAAGACTACGGAAGCTGAGTACGATTTGACCAATTTCCAAAGGGAGCTATGACTTTACGAAATATAACTAAACTCATATCAAGAAGTACCTCTCCAAGCAACCAAAGCACTGATTTGGATAACAAATGTGAACAAGCACATTCATTTGACTCTTACTTGAGCCGTTTATAGATGTTGATATTAAGTCAATCCTCACCTGTGTGCTTAATCTGTCGTGATTTGCTCTTGCGCTTACTATAACCTTCTCGTCTAAATTGTTTACGAGAGTGAGCGATTTAATCTCTGGAGTGACAGTTTAATCTTTGAAGATCCCTCTGGCTCATTTTGCCAGCTAAATGGTGCTTAATGAAAGAGATTCTTTGACCTTGCAGTGAGTAAATGAGAACAAACACACAAGGTATCTTTCAATTAACTGAGGCAGTTTTATTCAAGCGGACACAAAGGGTTCGGAAAGCTCAAAGATTTGGCAGATTAACGGCTTGGCAAAGCTAAGAATTCCTATAAATCAATAAACAACGCTGTCATCAATTCTAAGGAACCGAGGAGTTTCAAGGCAATAAACTGAAATAGTACAGAGCGCCGAAACGTAGAAGGGCAGTCGATAATATTTGTTTCAACAGAGAGTTTCGACGACAGATTTCCAAGTAACAACAAAAGATCTTACTCTTATTAATATCATTTAAATTTTACATTGCCTAGTGAAAGTGCTCAACGTGTTAGTAAATTAGTCCCCAAAGCCCCCATCGGTCAGTGCCCAAATGAATTAGAACGTGGAAAGGTTTCTTAATGAGTTTTTACCACTTCAGTTAATTAAAATTGCGTTAATACACTCAAAACAGAGTGTCGCCACCAACATAACAATTTAATGACGATCACGAATAGGCAGCATAAGGTTGTTCCTCACTAGGGTCACCCAAAATAAACTTATTTGATTTTATGTCAGGTGTGTTGGATTTTATATAGTCGTACTAAGTCTATAGTCCCCGAAGATGACTTATTCATGAAATCAAACAATGCCAAGAATTCTTTACAACTGCACTTTCTAGAACTAGAGGTTATTATTCCTGGTAAATTCAATGATTATTCTCTTTCTTTGTCTTTCTTTACAAAAGAGAAACGCTGCCGCAAATCGTCGATGCCAGTAATTAAGAACTGAGATCATGGTTGAGAAAAATATCTTGACTTTCATGCGCGGCGCATGTTTCAGTTCCTGAATTACACGTCATTGTTTACGATATCAACATCTCTTGCATAATTTTCGTCCTGGAGAAATTTCCAGTCAGGAAGACAAATTGACTTTGGCGCGTCGGGTCTAGAGGTCATATGATAATTTCTCAGGTTTAAAATTCCCTTGTGACTGGACAGACTTCATCTAGACTTCATCTCTAACATTAAGGGTGGGCCCACCTTGTGATCTCATATTGGCAGAATGATAGTCTCCAGGCTTCGATTTCTAATTGTCAGACTGAGTGGGGAAACCGCCAGAAATTCCTTCAGCAGTGCAAGTTGAGGACAATTTGAGCGATTTACAATAGGGCACTGAATCTCATGATTACATCTAAATCACACAGACTCATTATCCAGCCGGCTACCGAACCGTTACAATGAATAACAAATCACTGAAAGAATTCAATAAACTTCTACTTAACCATTTTGAAAGTATTGGTGCCAGTATCATATATTTGGAGAATAAGTCTGCAAGCTGAATCTTTTATTATCAGAGGAATATAATCTCTGGTAGTCCGGGTTTCAAACATCATTTTCTTTCGTTTTATCCACCTTCACAATATCAAGCTCAAAGGGGCTTAGTAAAAAAAGAATTAGTAATTCTATCAGGGAGAGAAGTGAATATTCTGCGTGACAACAAGAAGGAAACCATTGGATATTTTCCACGCAAATGATGTTGTTTCATTAACGAGGGAGCATTAGAGCATGGGAAGCGTACTTTTGTAGCAATTGCTGCTCAACTGCTAGCCAAGAAATTTCTTCAAGTCTTTGTCCGGTTCAAGTTCCCTCTATCAACGAAGTAATATTCTATGCAACATCAACATACAAAAATAAAACTCTTATTACTGGGATACCTGTGGTAGCCCAGTCATAAAATGCCTTTGTTTTTT